TGGGAGTGTTTAGAACCATTTTTTGTAGATTATTAATCAAGGAATTTCCAATGAAGATGAACATGTTTTTAATGATGAAACCAATTGAAAGATGAACATGTTTTTGATAATGACAGCTAGTCTTTGATAATAACTAATTTCACGTGAAAAAGGGTTAAAGATACAACAAGATTAATAGGGCTTGACAAATTGATTCATTGATAGATGATACCTAGATGTAATATAACCCAAAGCCTCGTTATCAAAGTATAGCTCAAGGAAGTGTCTACAAAAGTAAAGCATCTAATAAGACTTGAAGTGTGTGAAAGCTTGCCCTGATATGTTTAAGTAAACATACATTATAAAAGCATAAGGGCATTCTTGTAAAGTATATGGCTAATCACACACACATAGAAAAATTTTAAAACTTATTTTTCTCAAGAAAATAATTCTAAAAATTCCTTGAAGTCAAACCATATGAGTTGGGAGCTTTCAGAAAAGCTCTGGGCAAATTTTTGTTCTTGCCAATCAATTGGCACATATACCCAATCGATTGGGTCAGTGCGAAAATGCGCCTTATGTAATTAGGACAAAATCTTAATGATAGAAAACGACTATATATATTTTCTTACCTTTTAAAACTTATTAATCAATTGTTTTTAGGTTAACCAATCGATTGGCTCATCATTATTAGGCACACAAAAATTCCTTTTTTGTGTTAACCTCTAAACTATAATAGTGATCCCTTCCCACATATTTTCACATCCATAAATGTAAGCTTTCGTTACTCACTCTTCAATCTCTCTCTCTAAAAATATTTTTGTTTACTTTTTCTCACAAAAGTTTAGTTGTAGCACTTTCGAGAAAGTCATTTTGCAAGTGAGACAACTGTAATTCAAGAAGGGTAGATTTGTAAGTTCACCAAGGAAGTTTTGTTTTTACCATATTTGAAAAATTCATCCATGTAAAGATTATTTATTTTGGTTCAAAGTTAAACCGTTAAAAGCTTGGTTTTGGGGATTTAGTTTCTAAGTCACCTGGTTCGGTTCGAAGGCTCAACCCTTGTAAAAGATTTCATAGGTTCGATATCAGCTCGATGTTAAAATATTACAGGTTCTTGGCTAGTCTGGTATAAAATTAAGGTTCAATTCAAGCTCACCTCGATGTTAAAAGCATGCTAAGGTTGGAGATCAGCCAGTTAAAAAGTCTTTTAGGTTCGTGAGCTCAGCCCGGTGGTAAAAGCTCTCTTAGGTTTAAGATTAGCCTGTGTAAAATCTTGGTTTGAAGCTTGAAGACTAACCGCTCCAAGTTTCTTGTGGAAAGAAGACTAACTGCTTCAATCTATCGCTTGGAAGGAAGACTCTCCGCTTCTCTCCTTATTCGTTGTTTGGTTGGAAGTTAGCCACAAACTTCATTTTCCTTGTATAAAGGGGTTTGAGAGTTCAACCTACTAAATGCTCTTAAATTTTATTAGATACTCTTAAAATCAAATCTTGGAGACATGACTAAGTCTTTTGTATGAACCTGTATAACTCTTGTTGTCTTATCTCCTCCCTTAACTTTTATTTTTCGCATTTTACTTTATGAACTTTATTTTCCGCTGCTTACTTTCAAAACTTATCTAAAATGCTTTAAACTATAAAAATAATTCTAAAAATTGTTTTAAATCAAAATTTTCTAAAACACATAGTTCACCCCTTTCCCCTCACATGTCCAACATCTATCTACTACAATGTGTCATGGAGTAGTATCAGATAGGACAACAAGACTTGCACTTAATTTTTATTGACTTGGAGAAGGTGCATGATAGATTGCCTAGAAAGATTTTGTGGGAAACCCTAAGACATGTATGAAGGAATATTTATTAGCGTGCAAACACAAGTTGGAGAGACAGAAAATTTCTCCATTACAATAGGTTTGCACGAAGGTTCAATTTTAAGCCCTTACTTTTTAACATTAATTTTGGATGTACTTATGGAACACGTCCAAGATCTAGCACCAATATGCATGCTTTTTACAGATTATATAGTCTTACATGAGAGTGTAAAGAGTATTTAAATGAGAGGTTTGAGACGTGCTTTAGAAGCACATGGTTTTCGCCTAAGTAGAAGTAAGACGAAGTATAACGAATGTAAATTCAACAAAAGAAAAAGTATTTCTAACATAGAGGTCAAAGTGGGAAACCATATCATCCATCAAATGACGTGGTTTAAATATCTTAGTTCTGTGAAACAAAATGATGGAGAAATAGAAGTAGATGTAAACCATCAAATTTAAGTTAGGTGGCTAAAATATATGATGACTTCAGGAATTTTATGTGATACAAATGTACTGCTCAATCTAAAGGAAAATTTTTACGAAACTGTGATAAGACTTGTGATGTTGTATGGGACAAAATGTTAAGCGCTTAAGAATTAACACGAGAGTAAAGTAAATGTATCATACATGAGGATATTGCATTTGGATGTGTGGTAAGACTAGAAAGGATAAAATTCGAAATAAAAATATAAAGAGAGTGTTGGGTAGGACCTATAGTAGAAAATATGATAGAAAATAGACTTAGGTGATTTAGATATGTGGAGATAAGACCTATAAATTATGTGGAAAGGAGAGCATATCAGATGGATAGACGTCAAACAACTACAGAGAAAGTTATGTCAAGTCAGCTTGCTAAGAGGTAGAGCGGACTCTTAACCATGCTTTTATATATATATATATATATATATATATATATATATATATATATATATATATATATATATATATATATATATATATATATATATATATATATATATATATATATATATATATATATATATATATATATATATATATATATATATATATATATATATATATATATATATATATATATATATATATATATATATATATATATATATATATATATATATACTTTGATCGGTATCAACATCCTTTTCATGTTTGGTTACTTTCACATGAGTTATAGTAGGAATTCTGTATAGAGTGCATGCGAGTCCAACATTCCTATATAGTTTTCAATTAATATTAAAATATTATTATTTTCTATTTATATTAATAATAATAAAAATATATCAATTGTTAATTCGAATAATCTAATAAAATTATTTTTTTATTGATTATCTTATCTAAAATGATAAATACAAGACAATACAATTAAATAAGGGCAGTAAAATGGGTTGTGGCCCGCCAGGTCGACCTGTGCACCAAAAAATGACGAATTATGTTGGAATTATGTGTCCGCATTATTTTAAGTCTGCCAAAAACGAACAGGTTGGTGCGCCAACTTGCTATAGTTTAGTTATCAAGTATTCAAAATATTTATTTTGATTGGTTATAAGTTAATACATGAACTATTATAGTTTTGGAACTTTTGTTGATGATTATATTTTAGGTTAAAATTATTGTTAATTTTAGATTTTTAGTTGGAACTCTGGTTGGTAAGACCAAAAAAATAGCTTTTAACTTTTTAGCTCATTTTGATTAAAAAATTATGTTTGGTAACTGCCATTTATGTTTTAGCTTATAGCTTTTTAACTAGTTTTTACCTTTTTTTTTCCAAAAGCTATTTGAAATAGCTTTTGAGCTTGTAACTTTTAGCTTATGATTTTTTATTCCAATTATACTCTTATTATTTTAAATATATATATATATATATATATATATATATATATATATATATATATATATATATATATATATATATATATATATATATATATATATATATATATATATATATATATATATATATATATATATATATATATATATATATATATATATATATATATAATATTTACTATTAAAAAATTGATTTTAAAAGATTGAATTTAGGGAGATTTTGAAGAATGATATAGGAGATTTTTACTATTTTTCTCTACTTTATTAGACATTATTTTTATTTATTAAATATAAATTATATAATTACTTTAGAAATAGTGTTTATAATTCTCAAGTTAGAAGAATCAATAAAATCAACAAAGGTGAAGAAAATTCATAATATTATTACAGTTTTATTGTAAAATATTAGCTAATAAATTTATTTTTGTTATTATTTTAGATTAATATAACTAAATTCAAAATTACAATATTATTATTTCACATATTTTATTAAATTTCATTATAAAATTAGAAAAAAAATTACATTTTACAAAAGAATGAGTTAACTAGATCAAAAATTGTAGTTATTAGAATTACTTTTAATTTTATATTCTCATAAATAATTTTATAAAATACCTCTACTTCATGTATATTTCCAAGTTCTTTTATTCATTGAATTTCGTTGTCAATATATTTATACTAAATAGCAAGGTTCATAAAACTTATTTACAAATTTATATATTTTGATGATATCTTCAATTTCTCATATATAGTAAAACTATTTTGCATATTGTTATTAATACATTTATTTTTATCTAATCAAATTTGATAATATAATATAATATAATAAGATATTCATTTTATAATTATCAACTACTGAAATAGCTAATTTACTAGACATTTAAATTAACTTATCAACTATCAATAATCAACTGCTATAAACTATAAGTTAGTTTTACCAAGTTAATGAGAAATAATTTTATCTTGCTTCAAACTATGGCACTAGAACTAGAACGAATATAATAGCAATAAAATTGAAAATAAAACATAGAGATAATTTACCAACTTCTAATAAATAAATTTCCTGAATCACAAATCAAATAGAGTATATATACACAAGAAAAAGGAAGTACGAGTATAAAACATTAAAAAAAAAAAAAAAAACATAGAGAAAAATAATTATTAGCCATAAATTCCGCTGCAAAATCTTTCGCATTAAAAGAACCACGTGTTATCTTTCATGGTACATGCTTGTGGACCCACCATCAACACAAAACCTCCATGGAAGATGCATACCATACCACCATAGCCATGAACAAAGCATCTCATCACGTGAATCTTAATCCCATGTGACACTCTCTGTTTCATGTCCCTTCGTCTTCCACTATCACCATCACAAAACGACGCCGTTGTCAACGGTTAGGACCCACCATAACGGTTATTGTTTCATTCACTAACATTTCTAATACCTTCCCTTCAATTTCCGCCACCAGTTTTTCACCTTCTTCTTCTTCCTTATTCTTATCCGTCAAGTCTTTCATTTCTATTAGCCCGTCAATGTCTTCTAAAACCTCGCATTTCGCACGTGGGAAACTCCGAACTCTTTTCCACACTGTATCTAGTAACAACAATCCACGGTTACTGTTTGGTTTCATGAGAATTTCGGACAATACTTCGTCGAGTAAATCGAATAGTAATCTACGGTTACAGCGTGGACCCAGATGATTTTTCGGCGGAAATTTGTTGTCTTTATTGTTTGGGTAGAGTTCAAGACGGTGAAAAATTGATGGGTCTAATGGATGGGATGAAGAGAACCATTGAAAATGTTGAAGGTTTGTTATTGTTGCTTTGTGTATTCCGGTACGGTTTAGAATGGTGGAGATGTACTGATATTCTGGTTCTTCGTCTTGGGTTCCGGCGGCGAAGATGGAACTGTTAGAATTTGATTCATCGTTGGTTCTTTGGTTGCAGATGGTGTACTTCTGGCGCGAAGAACTAAATAACTGTGACATGCTTTTGGATTCTTGGACATTATCATTTACCTGTGTTTGGTTGATATTTTAAAATAATAAAAAAAATTGGTAAGTTTATAAATAAATAAAAAAATTATAGTGAAAAAGTGGAGATTGAAATAATTGATACCTGTTTTTGAGGGATTTTTGTATATGAAGGAGAAGGGTGTGTTTTGAGAGGAAGAAAGTTTGGGACAGTGTTGTTTGAAAGTGGATGAGTTTTCTTAGCTTTAGTTGCTGATGATGAGGGTCGAATAATGAAAGACTCTTGTTGCTTGTTTCTGATTGTTGTCTGTTGATTCTTGTTGATCCGTGGGCTCAGATTCCCATGTGCTGTTTTCTTGCATTTTGGGAAAGATTTTTTGTCCTTCATCATCATCTCCTTCTCTGACATTGCTTGAGTTTTAATCTTTGTTGAAACTCTTGAAACCTGTGCTTCAATGTTGACCAAAGGTGGTGGTGATGATTGTTTTGGTACTTGATGTGTGTTTTGGTCTTTGAGAGTTGGTGAATGTTTGTGGTTGTTGTTGTTGTTATCATTGAATCTGCTGAGTCTTGGAGAGTGAGATGTGTTTGAATGTTTTCCTTGGTTTGATTCTTCTAGTGGTTTCAATGGTTTGAGAGGTTTCTTGAATTTGATTTGAGTAACAAAATTTTCTTTCTCTTGTTCTTGTTCTTGTCCATTAGTATTTTTGATTGTGTTGTTGGTGATGTCTTTGCCAACTTTTCTTCCACCAACACTTTCTTTAACATGTTTTCTGAGTTTTGAAAATGAAAACCGAGGAGGAGTTTCTAAATCATCACTGTGATTCATATTCTCTTTGTTGATTTGGAGAGAGAGTCTATGTTCAACAAGTGATGAGGTTCTTTCTGAGGACAACCTTGGAGTTTCAGGCAAAGACCGCATGATGACACTGTCTGTGCTGTGTCTATGTTTCATTATTTTGAGGCTGTCTGGTTTTGGTCTATAATGGTAATGACTTTGCCTATTTGGAGTTGAGAGAGATGAAGAGGAAGATGAAGATGGTGAATTTGCGTCAGGAAGAAGATCAAGACCCATTAATCTTGCTACCAAGGTTGGTGTTTTTGTTCCGGGAGATGAAACGTCATTGAAGCTTTTCTCTGAGGAAAGATCATTGAAACTTGCTCCTCTTGTTCTTATGTTCTTCTACATTATCAAAATAAAAAACTAGTTAGAGGTAGAAAAAAAACATTATCAGTGGATGCAAAATTGGTGAAAAACTTACTGGGATTTTGAAACTTTCTTCATCTTGTGATTCCAAGCTATTTCTAGGTGCTTGAGGTTCTTTGGAGATGGAGTTAGTGGGAGAGTGATGTTGTGGTTGGTTGATGGAAAAGTGAAAGGGATGAAAATCAAAGGTTTGAAAAAATGCACACATGCAACCTGAAGGGATATCAGTTTGAGGTGTTGTTTTCTTGGAGGATTTTCTGGCACCCCAATACCAATCTTTACCCATAATTGGTAAACTTGTGAGATGGATGAGATTTGAAAAGTGGTGTTGGAAAGAGGTTGTTAAAGTGGTGAAATCAGAATGAAAATGACATGATAATATGGTAAAGGCTGAGACAGTATCTGTGAGAAAGAGAGAGAGGGAGAGAGAGAAGAAAATATGAAAAAATTGGTGATATATATAAATGAATGGTGATAAGGGAGTGTGAAGAACCGAGAAAAGCGGATCATTGAAGCATAAAACGGTCACATTTCATGTAAGGAATTTAAAGGACAATTCAATTTTGTGATCATGTAATGACACATGGTTTATCTTTTCTACCGTAATCTTCAAGTTTGTTCAAATATTACTCCGCTATTCTGTTTATAAAAAAAAAAATTATATTGTCCAAAAATATCCATTAAATTTCTATTTTATGAGATACTCTTTTAAGGATAATTTTAAATAAAAATAAAAATTAAAGTGCAAAAGAATTCTTCTTTTTCTTTTTTCTTTCTTTTTTTTTAAAAAGTTACTCGTATAAACTTTTGAAAAGAGAATAATACCCCCCTCTCTCTCTCTAGTGTAGTCTTATCTGATTTGCACTCACTCCCAAGCCTTGTAGGTGCAAGAGAAAACCAAGGATGCAGGTCATTGGGAAGAGAGATGAAATAGTAGTAATGGAATTAAGAAAATATGTGTAAGATGACGATGTGACCACGCACCTGACCTCTTCTCCTATCTCTCTCTTCTGTCACTCTGATTTTCATTAATTTTTTGAAATAATAAGGAAAGAGTGTTCTCATTTCTATTTTATGTTGAAATTATATTTTGAAGCAATTGGATATATAACTTTAAATGCTATTTTTATATTTAACAATTGTTAGTGTATTTCTTTAAAAGAAAATTTAAGTATATATAGATTCTTTTTCATATAAGATTTTTTTTTTTATATTTAAATTGTTTAACGTGTATCCTTGAAAATACAAACTAACATGATCCATTTTAGTATTTTATTAGTCTCACATTCAATCATTTATTTAATAATTTTTTACATAGTAAAAAAAGAATATAAAATAAATATTATATATTTAACATTACCATAAATATAGAATATAATATATTAAATAAAATTTAAAATATTGTAAGATTTATTTACTTGAGAGTGCAATTGAAAATAAAATAATCAATATTATATTAAAAATTGAAAATAATACATTTGAAAAAGGAATTCTTTATATAATCTATATTTGAAAGTCTTAAATCTAAATTAATTGCAATTATTTTTATCATATTTGTTCCGGATCAAATGCCACATCTCTTTGTGAATGCCGACGTCAAGTTCTTTCAGAATTAGAACTGATCCTTCATCTTTTAAGAATGAGGATCGCCCAAGCTCCACGGCTTGGAGTTTTAACTTTTCTTCCTTCAATCAACTAGAGACATTACAAAAATAATATGTTTTGCGACAAATAAGTTGCGATATTGTTGACGAGGCTTCCAAGTGCAAGCTTCTAGCGCTAACCTTGATCAGATAATCCAAATTGTGGTTCAATGGTCTCCCTGAAGGTTGTATCGAATTGCGGAAGGATTTTTTGAAATCGTCGCACCGCCCACTTCACCACCCGGAAGAGGTAACCAATTATTATAACAACCTTGAGTTGCATCATGAAAGGAGCAAAGGAAAGCCTATGGTCATATATCAATCGATTCGCTTAAGTTGCGGTAGACGTAGAGGGAGCCGAAGAAGCCCTCCAGTGTTGGATCTTCGAGAATGGCCTCCTCTACGACCATCGTTTCTGCATGAAGTTAGGAAATAAGAAGGTAAAAATGATTCAGTAGATGCGTAACCTAGTCGAACCATACATCACGTTGGAAGAGAAGTTGAATACTCGCTTCGACAACCCAACCTCAGCTGCCGACTCGAGTTCCAACCGTATTTTGGTAAAGGAATCTCGTAGGTGAAAAGAGGATATACTGTCAATACGATAAATGCACACTTTTGAACACTTTCCGGGATGAAATTTACCAAGAATGTGTTAACACTAAGTTCAGGAAAGCCAGGATCGACCTATTTACCTTGTCTGGGAGTCTGGTTGAATGAATAAATCAAAGTATTTTCGCTTCCACAGAGGACACATCCAAAACACAGATAATTGCATCCAACTTAAGGACGTGATTGAAACACTGATAAAAATAGGCAGAATGTTCAAATAGGTTAAGGGCGGAAAATGATAGTGGGAGGAATCTCCAAAAACCAAGTCACCTCTAAAGACTTTCGAAGCCAGACTCAGTGGTAAAAGAAGGAAAATCAACAAAGGAAAGTGCTTGTATATCGTAGCCATCAGCGGCGGTGCACCACGCACGAACCACCCTTTCAAAGGGACGGCCAAAATGAAAATTTCCAAGAAGGTAGGAGCATCTCTAATGAATTTTCCCCCTAGTAATCATGGCTACCGTAGGACAGTTCAACGTTTCTCAATTTTTAATTGACGAGGGAAGTTCTTATGATATCCTCTACTCATCTTTGATTGAAAAAAGGGGCCTACATAGAGGAAGCCTAATACCATTCGATGGTTCAGATCCACAAGCATTCAATGGGACGACCACTCGTCCCTATGTACATGGAATTAATGGTATTTGTTGGAATAGGGAGAGACCTCAGATCCATCAACACCCAGTTCTGGGTCATCCCATGAAAAAGCCTTTATAACTGGATCTTGGGTAAGACATTCACTCTGCCATGCAGGAGTCGTAGCCTAACCATGCACTTAAAGCTCAAGTGACATAACCTTCGTAGAAAACCGCTCGGTTATGTTTCAAATTTTTACATTCACATGTATACTCACATATATGTGAAAAATGATGTATATCATATACAAATTATTGTTCATTATGAATGAATCTACACAAATTTTGAAATGTTTGTTCCTCTGTGATTATATTTTAGTAATACAAAGTCGGGGTACAACCAACACAGTTGAGGCATGTGATTAAGATTTTAGAATGGTGTCGGAGATGCTTTGCACACCCGACTATAACAATCAATTCCCCATAATATCAACTATGCCTTAAGATTTTAAGGGTGATGTCGGAGATGCTTTGTACATCTGGCTATAACAATCAATTCCCCACAGTGTCGAGTACGCCTAAAGATTTAAAGGGTGTTGTCAGAGACGCTTTGCACGTCCGACTACATCAATCGATTCCCCATAGCTCCAAGCATGCCTAAATATTTCAAGATTGTTTTCGGAGATACTTTGCACGTCCAAATACAACAACCAATTACCTACAATGGCGAGCGTGCCTAAAGAGTCCATTGGAGCTGTCGAAGATGCTTTACATGTTCGACCACAACAACAAATTCCCTTAGAGGTGATGTCAGAGACGTTTTGAACGTCCGACTACAAAAATTAAGTACCCCATGTTAAATAACTACGCGTACCCAAGCGTAGCTAAAACACCTCTACTTCGGGTCTAGCAGATCCAAGGGACGTGAGTAGTGGAGCTTGGAGATTTCCACCTCGATGCAAGCTTTTACCTTGGGTAGAGAGACGAGGATCCTCTACCTTTGGCCGGGGAATAATCATCTGTGATGTGGAGTGTAACGTCTCAAACTGCTTTCGGGATTACCGACTAACCCCACAAGCCAACACGGGTCTTTTCAGCATGCTTTATCCTCACTCACACGCTTTTTGGGAAACTTCCCTGAAGGTTACCCGTCCCATTACTACTCCAAGTCAAGCACGCTTAAATGTGTAGTTCTTATAGAACGGGCTACCAAAATGAAGATGCATCTTGTTGGTATAGGTAGTACCAATTAATCCTTATAAGCCTTCGTTCAACCATGTAGTCTCATATCTGCACAACCTCAGAATCCTTCTCATTCTGACGTGAATTCAGTTTTTCCCTAGAAGCTGCTAGGAGTGTCTCATTGTCATGCCTCGTGCACCGACAACCACTCCCCGTCCTCTTCGACCTTAGGTGTTACATGTCCACTAGCTTCTGCTCGGTTCATCCCCGAACCACATCATACTGAGAGAGGTCTGGTTGTGATACCATTTGTAATGCCCCAAACTACTTATGCCCCAAATTGCTTTCGGGATTACCGACTAACCCCACAAACCAACACGGGTCTTTTTAGCATGCTTTATCCTCACTCACACGCTTTCTGGGAAACTTCCCAGAAGGTCACCCATCCCAATACTACTCCATGTCAAGCACACTTAACTGTGGAGTTCTTACAGAACAGGCTACCGAAAACAAGATGCATCTTCTTTTTGGTAGCTCGTTCCATAAGAACTCCATAGTTAGGCATGCTTGACTTGGAGTAGTATTGGGATGGGTGACCTTCTGGGAAGTTTCCTAAAAAGCGTGTGAGTGAGGATAAAGCATGCTGAAAAGACCCGTGTTGTTTGTGGGGTTAGTCGGTAATTCCGAAAGCAATTTGGGGCGTTACACGGAGGGCATTTCAAAAATCATGGCCGCATTTATCCTGTTTCATGTCCCTCATATGTAAGTATGATTTAAAGCATAACCACTTCTATTTGGACTCAAGCCTTATTCCTATGAATATGATTCAAAGCATAGTCGCATATAGTCGGTTCCATGCAAAATCATTACAGGTCAAATTCAAAGCATAAACGCCCAATGTTAAGCCCATGTCTCCCCGTTACAAATCCAATATATAGATACATTGATCCAAGCTCATGCTTCGCCTATACAAGCACATTCATATTATAGCCATGTCCGGATCGCTCAACATTTCACCAAGAAAGCACGTACTGTAACACCCTTCTAAAAACCCCACAAAAATAATGATTAATTTAATCATATAAACATAACCACAAGGGTTCCACACTTCATAAAACATCATAATTATCATGATTCGTAACACGGATTACACAAAACATTTATTAATTCTAACATACTCATTTATGAGGCTTTTACGACATCAAGTTCTTTTAAAAACAACGCAGCGGATTCAACATAAAGAAATTCAATTATGATTCTACAACTAAAATTGA